TTCCAGCCTTTCATTTTAGGAGTTCACTGGAGAATTCTTCAGATGAAAAAGGTTTTGAGGGTCCATTTTATACATTTCCCTGTTTGTGGGCAGGAGCCCATCTGAGGCATTTGCAAACCAATGTGAGACAGCCATGCACATGGCCAAAGAGCCTGCATTCCCCTATCTACCCTGACACTCTCTAATCTCAGAAATTCTTCTTTATGTCCAATCTCTATATGTTTTACTTAAAATATTGGCCTCTCTTTATCACTTATTCTGATTGGGGATGAGGTACACAAACCCTCAAAAGGTTAAGAAAATTGTCAAATCACCCCTGGTAACATTATTCCATTGCTTATCAGTCCAGGTCTCTGAAATTATAGGTCCTATATAGTTTGTTATCAAACCATCAAAGATCCCTTATAAAGCATTAATTCAGTCCCTACCAGGGTTTAACCTTGTAAGTGGTTGTCTGGTCTTTCCTTAAAGATTTTGAAAGATGAAAGTATCGTAATTTGCAGGACATAGTTAAGATCTCCTAGTTCATTCCTCCAAACTCCATACCCTCCTCAATTAGTATCATCATGTTTTACTCATTTGATTAGGAGACAGTATATCCCTGAGGCTGGGCGTGACTAATATGACCTCCCTAGTCCCTTTCAGGCCATCATATGAAGTAGGGGAAACAGAATTGGTAGCAGTTACAAACCACACAATGCTTGCTCCAGGAGAGCCCCTAAGGACCAGGCAAACTCCAGTGTGGGCACAGCAGGCAGTTTCCCAAAGTGGGCAGAGTGACAAATCCTGGCACAGTGACTGGCGTGGGAGGCCGGGGAACAAGAGGGCAGCCAGGGCCCACACTTCTTCTTCCCCAAATTAAATTTCCCCATCCTAGACCCCTACTCTTGTGCTCCCAATTCCAAAGTTTTCAGGCCTTCCATAGTGCTCATCCGAGGCCAGACACCTCTCATAGATCATCTAAGGCCTGTGCTTCTCAAACCTGAAAGAGCATACAAATTTCTTGGGAGCCTGTTCAAAGTGCAGATTTGGATTTGTAGGTCTGAGTTCAGGCTTGAGATTCTGCATTTCTAACAAGGTCCCAGATGACACCGTGCTGCTGGTCCAAGGACCAGTAGTATCAGCATCACCTGGGAACTTGTTAGAAGTGCAAGTTCTCGGCCCCACCCAGGCCTACTGAAATCAAAATACTGGGGGAGAGACCCAGCAGTTTTCAATTTCACAAGCCCTCCAGGTGAGGTAAAACCCAGTGAGGTTGAGCCCCACTAAACATAATACTATTCCTGCCTTTGTTTCAAGCCCCTTCTCTCACTGTGACTTTGATTAGTGAATTGAAGAGATAGAACTGAGCATGCCCAGCTAGGTCCCTTTCAGTTTTTTCTTGGTTTTCTTTTTTGATCCAGGGCCAACCTGCCCAAAGGACAGATGCATTCCAACATACTCATACATGAGAAAATGTAATAAGTGCAGACACTGTCTTGTAGTGAGGACAGGGGCTGGGGAGGAGGGTTACTTAGCACTATTTGTGATAATGAGTAAGTCTGTCTAGCTTAGTGATATGGGATTAGCAAGCCAATTCGGATGCAGATATAAAGCTGATGGTTTAATCATCAGTCTCTATGTCTTGATTATCAATTTGTTCCAAACATAGGAGGGGAAATGGGGTATTATTTACTGGACTTCTACAGTCCAACAATGTGCTGTAGTGAAAAGTGGGCAGAGTACAGGTTCAGATCACATGCAATATAGAGACTTAGTGGAGAGAATAATAGGACAGAAGAGCAGAAGAAATCATAGAATTTTTTAAGGGAACTTTTGAAATGATTAGTTGTGACCTATGTTACAGATAAATAAGTTGAGAAGGAACTGAGGGGCTTACTCAAGGTCACTTTGCTAGTTGGTGGTGGCAACAAGACCAGAACCCAGGACACTCGGCTCTCAGCTGTGCACTTTCTGAGCAGGTGGACTAAAGCAGACAACAGTAGAGAAACTTTAAAGTCCAAGAATGTACATATCGTCAAGTAGAAGAACAAACTCCAGGGATTTTCAGCATGGGTCATGAGTTCAAAGCCAAAGTGCTTTCTGCTCAGAGGAAAGCTCTAGCTCCAATCCACCTGTGTGTATTCTGTTGTCCCCTCTTATAGCCAAGACTCAAGCTGCACAGCATGCTTAGTGTGCTCTGAACACTGCTTCATCTCTTGTGCTTTTCCTAGTGTTGTCTCTGCCTACAGTCTCTCCCTGCTTCCCACATGTGGCAAAACCCTAATCTGTCCTTGGAGAGAGCCAACTCAGATGTCATTCCTCTACAAAGATTTATCTGATTTCACTACTGAATCCTCACCACTGTGCCAACCACAAATGATCATACTGCACTCTTAATTCCATTTCATTGATATATTACTTATAGTGTTACTTTATTGATATATTACTTATTACACTTTCTACTTCGTGTTCCATCTATGCTTTACCTCTTGTATTATATTATAAGCTCCTAAGTGCAATGGCCATAGTTCATCTTTTTTGGGTCTTTTTCTAGTTCCTTTTTTTTGATGTATAATTAAAATACAGTGTCATTGTATGACTCTAGGTACACTATATAATGATTCAAAACTTCCACAGTTTTCTCAGTGCTCATGAAGCAAAGTGTACTCTTAATTCCCTTTAACTAAATCACCCATCATCCTACCCACCTCTAGGTTGTCAACCACCAGTCTGTTCCCTGTATTTAAGAGTCTGGGGTATTTTTTGTTCTTGTTTCTCTTTTTGTTGTTGTTGCTTTATTTTTTGTTTTATTTTTAAATTCCACATAAGAGTGGAATCATACGGTATATATCTTTATCTGACTGACTTATTTACCTTAGTAAATAAGTAAATAAGACTCTAAGCCCATCAATGTTTTTTTAAATTTTCTTAGAGAATTATTGATTTTACTGAGGTTTTCAAACAACCAGCTTTAATTTCATTGATTTTCTATATTGCTTGTCCATTATATATTTATTTTAGCTTTTTTTTTTAAATAGTTTATTGTCAAGTTGGTTTCCATAAAACACCCAGTGCTCTTTCCCACAAGTGCCCTCCTCCATGCCCATCACCCTCCTTCCCCTCTCCCTCATACCGATTTGTCCTCAGTTTGTTCTCAACATTCAAGAGTCTCTCATCAATGTTTTTATAAAAGGTAATATTCCATCATTTTTATGGCTGAGTAATATATATATATAATGCATAGAGATGGATGGATGGTTAGATAGATAGATGATAGATAATATCACCTCTTCTTTATCCATTGATCTATTGATGGACACTTGGGTTACTTTCATATCCTGGCCTTTGTAAATAAAGCTGCAATAAACATAGGGGTGCATATATCTTTTTGGATGTATGTAACAAAAGGATTTTGCATTGAAAAGGAAACCATCAGCAAAATAAAAAAGTAATCTACTGAATAAGAGAAGATATTTGCAAATTATATACCCAATAAGGGGTTAATATCCAAACTGCATTAAGAATTTAGACAAATCAACACCAAAAAACAACAATACAAAACAAATAACCCAACTAAAACATGGAAGAGGATCTGAATAGACACTTATCTAAAGAAGACATACAGATGGCCAACTGACACATGAAAAGATGCTGAGTATCACTAATCTAGGGAAATGTAAATGAATAATACAGTGAAATATCACTTTACACCTGACAGAATGGCTAAAATAAAAAAGACAAGATAAACAAGTGTTGGCAAGGATATGGAGAAAAAGAAACCCTCATGCATTGATGGAATATAATTGATGCAGCCACTATGGAGAGCTGAGGAGGTTCTTTAAAAAAATAAGAATAGAACTAATATATTATATATTAATTCTGTTACTGAATTTTTAAAGTAATCTCTACACCCAACGTGGGGCTTGAACTCACCACCTTGAGATCAAGAGTTTGTATGCTCTACTGACTGAGCCAGCCAGGCACCCTCCCACTACTGGCTATTAACCAAAGAAAACAAAACCATTTTTTCTAGGGTTTTTTTTTTCCTGATACATTATCTTATTTTATTCAAATACCAGTCTGATCACACATTGTTCAAGAAGACTCAAATAATAAACTAAATATAAACAGATAATAAATATTGCTCTTTAACATTATAGCCAATGATGTCATGCTTCTCTATGATTTGCCAACATAAAACCACATTCACACCTCAGTGGTCACCAAACCATTTAGCAGAGATTCCTTAACTGTGAGCCATTTGAAGCTACCAGCTTGAGCACTTTAGACTATTTTTTTCAAGCTCTGAATAGCTGGAGGGATCTTAGCAGGGATTGGAGGAATGAGCTCAACCTTGACATAGTGCCAAAATATGGCCAATCAAGGCTTTAAGTAAGTCACAGCAGCATTCACCTGCCAGGGCCTTCTCTGCAAGTTTCTGGACAAACTGAGCCATGGATCTAGGATGGAGATTCTCTATTTTCTTTTAATAATAATTTTTTAAAATTTTTCTAATTTTTTTATTTATTTCTGAGAGAGAAAGAGAGAGAGAGAGAGAGGGAGCGCGAGTGAGCATGAGCAGGGTAGGGTCAGAGACAGAAAGAGACACAGAATCTGAAACAGGATCCAGGCTCTGAGCTATCTCTCAGCACAGAGTCTGATACAGGGATCGAACCCACAAACTGTGAGATCATGACCTGAGCTGAAGTTGGACGCTTAACCGACTGAGCCACCCAGTCGTCCCTCTTTTAATAGTTTTTAAGGCCAGTAAGCAGCTACAGACACAACCGAAAAGTAAACACACACACAAAAAAGGGAGAAAGACCAAACCATATCCTTCACTCCACAATAAATTACAGTGTTCCTCCATCAACATCCCATGGAAAGCCTAGTTTTCTATGTGCTCAAAAGTACTCTCCATTATAATGCAGAGGGACCAGACTACATTCAAGTGTGATGATATAAAACCAAATATGTACTGGCACTGCTGAGTTCAAAGTCTACAGTTTTGGTCTTAACTAAGACGGGTTAGGGACTAGGCTGTGCTGGATCCCATAGCTGAAGTAGATAACAAACCCAATCAGCATCCAGACACTATATCGGGCCCAGGTGTCAATGGTCATCTGCATCATAAGGCAAATATTCATGAAGATGCTCAGTAGTGGGAGAAGAGGCAGAGCAGGGACCTTAAAGGGAAGGGGACTGGAGCTCTGTGGCTGTCTCCAGATGACCCCAGTGAGCCCAGTGATGAGCACCAGGAGCAGCACAGCCACTGAAACCCACACTGGGTCTCCAGAAAGCAGAACTGGCCATTGGGTCACCACCAAGCAAAGAAGAATGATCAGCATAACAAGGAGTGAGGAGCAAACATAGACAACCCGGCCAGAGAGTGGAGTAGGGGTGGAGCTGCCTGGAAAAATTAGTTGCTGTAGAGTCAGCTTCTGTGCTACAAGTCCATTCTCCTCCTGCACCACTGCTTCATTTCCCCCTTTCTTCTCAGGCTGATACCTTATGATGAGAACACAGATAGCTACCAGGGAGTGAGATATCAGAGACCCAATTGACCTGAGGTCCACAAGATCAGTGAGTCTAAAGAAGAATGCCATGATGGCTGCAATAATGCTTGAGATCACAGTGGCCATTATGTGGATGTTTGTGGTATAAAGGATTTTGGTAAGGACAGGGAAAAGGAGGCCATCCCATGCCATGATGTATATCACCTGAACTATGGGGTAAAAATAGCCCAAAAGGCTTGCAGAAACACTACAGAAAAATCCACAAGCTACAACATAGTAGGCAGGGGCCCAAGCAATATGAAGAAATGCTTCAGACAAGGTGCTACCAGGTTGGAGCTGGTAGTACGGCACCATCAGTGTAAGTGCCATTGACACACCAAAATGCACAAAACAACTGATGAACAGTGAAATCACTATGGCTATGGGTATGGAATGCTGAGGATTCTTGACTTTTTTTACTTTGGTAACAATACATTCAAAACCAATAAATGCATAGAAACAGGTAGCTGCTCCACGAAGAATCCCTTCAAAGCCAAAAGGTACAAATCCTCCAGAGCCCAGAGGGCCCAACTTAAAAGTGTCATTAAGTCCAACCTTTATGTAGTCCTCTTCTGTGAGCTTCCAGTTGTGCAGGTCGCCCTTAATGAAGCCAGAGATGATGACAAAACCGAGAACCAAAATTTTCACTGATGTGAACACTTTAGTAACCTGGAAAGTCCAACTAATTCTCAGAGTCCATAAATCGAGGAGCAACAACACGAGGCCCACAACAAAAAAGTCTAGATATTCTGTAAAGACACGAGAAATAAGCGCTGAGATGCTCTCATGCAGGGTCTGAGAAATCTTGTTCCCACGCAGGTTGTCAAAAGCTAAAATCCATGCATGGGCCACAATGGCTTTATTAGCAACAAGGGAGAGGATGAGGTTCCACCCAGTGATGAAAGCCCAGAGTTCACCTATAATGACAAAGCTATAGAGATATGCAGAGCCAGAATGGGGAACCCGGGCACTAATCTCTGCATAGCACAGCCCAGCCAACACAGTAGATAGGCCAGCCACCAAAATGCAGATCACAATGGATGGTCCTGCTTGATTTCTGGCCACCTCACCAGCCAGGACATATACACCTATACCTACTGTGCGGCCTACACCCTGGGCCACTAAATCCAGAGTGCTCAGTCTTCTGAGTTGGTCATCTTCAGTCACAGGTTGCCACAGCTTACGCTTGCGTACAAGTTTTTGACCAAATCGGCGAAGTACCTGATGTAGCATCTAGCTGGAATTGAAGAGCATTCCAGGATCGGAGAGATGTAGCAAGTGTGGGAGCTTAGATTCTCAAATCAGGTTAGGTGAATCTGAGTTAAGCCAAATTGTGCTGGAGCAGCCGAGTTCCTTTGCTCAGATTGAAATCTGCTGCTTCCTATTTCATCCAGTATGTATTATCACTCCATAATGCCTAGGTAAATAATAAATATTTACTGAACAATGGGGTACAACCAACCAACCAACCAAAGAAGTCTCATGTTATCTTTTGCAGCACAAATATCAGAAAAGCTGACATGAAAGACAATATAGACAAATCAACCCTGCTTACCTCCACACCAGAAAAGTGTAAAATACCTCACAACATTCTTTTTCACACACCACATGACATAATCCCATTTGGGTTCATCTAGCTCATGTAGGTTACTATACTAATAACTTGTAAGACACAACACAGCATGAATGTATTGTACAATAATTCACACACACTCAAGGATGCTTGCACAGTACTTGAGCAGGAATAATAACACAATAATTCATGTAATAGAGGGACTTATTTCAATTAAAGAACATTTTTAAAGATCATCTGAGTTTAAAATACAAATTGGTATTGGTTCCCTGGTCTTAAAACCATTACCCCCCAAATCACTAGCAAAGTCAAAAGTTACTTTGGCCCCCTTTCTCCTCATTCTGCATCATCCATTTAGCTGTACTGATGGCAAAGAATGTACAGTCTAACCCTTCCTAGGCTCACAGGGGGTGCTGTGAGAAGAGAGGAAGAGACAGAAAGAGGCAGAGCCTTCAATAACTCCCTGCAAGAACTAGAGAAACCAGGCTGTCTGATAAGGAAATACTGGGGAAATAGGTGCAGCAGCCAACCAAAGGTCCATTACTAAGAAGGGAGAAGAGCCAGAAAGGTGGTTTTATAAATGCTGACATAAAATAAACCTCACCCAAAGCAAGTAGGCAAAAATTCACTACTATTTTTATGTCTGCAGTTATGAGAGTGTGATAGGTAAGGAGAAAACAAACATGTCACCTAGTTCCCTAGCTCACAATCAAAATAATTCCTTCTGTCTCCTCTCTCTCTCTGAGTCCCAGGAGATAAAGTGAGCTCACTTCTTCAGACAGTTTAGTCACCAGCCACACTGAGCTCTATAAACACCTTGCTCCATCTGTGATGTAGCTGAAGCTGCCTGAGGAACCTGCGCTGCTCTGTGAGCTTGTATTAAAACACTCACTTGTAGGGGCTCCTGGGTGGCTCAGTCAGTTAAGCGTCCGACTTTGGCTCAGGTCATGATCTCGCGGTTCATGGCTTTGAGCCCCACAATGGATTCTGTGTCGGCGACTCTGAGCCTGGAGCCTGTTTCGGATTCTGTGTCTCCCTCTCTTTCTGCTCCTGTCCTGCTCATGTTCTGTCTCTCTGTCTCAAAAATAAACAAACTATAATTTAAAAAAAACTCACTTGTAACTAATTTTTCACAAGTAATTATTTTTAACTTATTCAAGCCATGGTCTCAATATGCCAACTATGTTTTCTTACTGAAGGAAGTGGCATGAGGTTCTTCATCCTCCTCCTCACTGCTGTTATTCATATGGCTCTTCCTTAAGGGGGACAAAGCTTTGGATGAATAATTCACAAGAATGACCCAGAAATGAGTGGTGGAGAACAAGGAAAACAAACTCATGCAGATCCCACTTTCCACCCTACTCAGTCATAGGTTTTGAGAGAATTTTAGGAAATGTTGGAGATTTTAAATACAGAAAGATCAAGTCAAAATTGAAAAGTCTTTTCCACAGATTATCAAAAGTAACCCTGGGAGTATGGGTCAGACCTTCTGTCTACAAACCCATCTAGACTCCTTGTTTGCCACCCACCAGTTCCAATGTTATGATTTACCAACAAGCACATGAGATAGAGAAGGAGGGTCAATTCTTAACTCATGGAACTCTCTGCACTATAAATGTGACTGACATATCTCCTATCCACCCCCAGGCTTCAAATCCTTCAGTGGTTCCCATTGCCTTTCCTGCATAGTTCTTCCTTCATCAACTGACTTGTGCTGATTCCTCCAGCCTCATACCCTGCCCAGTTCCTGCTCCAGCTGCAAAATTCTACACCCACCCTATTCCCTTCCCCTCATGCTCTCTTCTCCCTTCACTTAGCTAACCCCTACTTCTCTTTCAGTTCCCAGCTCAAAAGTTGTTTCTCAGTAAGCTTCCCCTGACTCTTATGCTGCCCTTCCTGTGTGCTTTTTAAAATTTTTTTTGTTTATTTATTTTTGAGAGAGAGAGAGAGATCACAGGGAAGGAGCAGAGAGAGAGAGGGAGAAACAGAATCTGAAGCAGGCTCCACGCTCTGAGCTCTCAGCACAGAGCCCAACATGGGGCTCAAACCCACAAACCAAGAGATCATGACCTGAGCCGAAGTCGGATGCTTAACTGACTGAGCCACCCAGCGGTCCCATTACTATGTGCTTTAATAGCACCTGCACTTCCCCCCATGTGCCAATTATTCTAATGTATCAAAATGCCAGGTCAGCTGACTGTCTCCTCCATCAGACTGTGAGGTAGGTGCTTAATAAGTATATGTTGGACAAAGGTACAAGCTGAGAAGAGAAACCTGAAAAAGTACATAATCCAGAATTCCTATCTACTTGAGTCTAGGGTATGTACTTTGTAGCCAAGCAACCTTTATAAACCTGGCTCAGGTAAAGATCCAAGTGGTATTACCTTCCTTGCAGAAGGCAAGCAAAATAAAAAGTGTGAAGGAAAAGTCACCTGATGAAATCTTGATTGCATATCATTCATAGCAGGTATGACTCATACAGGGAGATAAAGAATTGTTCCCCTTTGAGGATACATGTTTAAAACTATCAGGCTGCCTGAGGTTATAAGGCAACCAAACACCCATGCCCAGCGACAGAATCCTTACTTTTTTGAAGGCATCATGCTCAGACCCTGTAATCTAGGTGGGATGTCCTAGTGTAGGGGTTCTCGCTTTGGGGGACAGAGGGAGACATAATGAAGACACCTGGTGATATTTTCAAATGCCATATCCTCATCCTCTGGACATTCTTGTTCACCAGCACTATACTTCCTACGACTACTCTAAAACACTGAAACTGAGAAAAATTGTCCTCAAGTTCAAAGGGAAGAGATTGTAAAAGTGTCCTTTACAGGAAGGCAACATGGTTTAGTAGTTAGGACTAAGGCTCTGCAGGTAGACTGTTCAGGTTCAAATCACAACTTAATTTCATTGCTGGATGACTCTGGACAAATCAGTTAACCTCTTGAGGCTTTATTTTCCACAACACTCAAATCGGAGTAAAAATAATACTTCATAGGGTAATTTTGAGGAGGAAGTGAAAAGATGCCTATAACTACTTACCTTAGTACCTAGCAAACAATATGTACCTAATATAATCTACCTAATATTTAACATTAAAATGTGATCAAAAGTTCCCAAATTTTGATAATCAATTACTTTTTTAGAATGTTTTATTCATTTTTGAGAAAGAGAGAGAGCAAGAGAGCAGGGGAGGGTCAGAGAGAGAGGGAGACACAGAATCTGAAGCAGGCTCCAGGCTCTGAGCTGTCAGCACAGAGCCCGATGCGGGGCTTGAGCCCACGAACCGTGAGATCATGACTTGAGCCAAAGTCGGACGCTTAACCAACTGAGCCACCCAGGCGCCCCAATCAATTACTCTTTATAAATATGCAGACTTAAAATCATCCACTAAAATTCGAACCTCTTTGCTAGTCCTCCTGAGACAATGAAAACAGTTTTATTCCATATAATTTGCCTTAAACTCCAAGGACTCTAATTATACACCCTCATAGATACTGATGCTAAACACTTTGGGGTCCTAAACTGACTGAGTTAGACCAGGCATTGAAAAATACAATGGTCAATCATTATCATCATCATCGCCTGCGGGTGCCTTAGTTCTTTCTGGAAGAGGCAGTGCTGGGTAGTACAGTGGTAAAAGCAATGAGCATAATGTCAGAATATTTGGATATGAGTCCTGGTTCTTCCATTTATATAAACCAGGGTAATTTGCTTAATCTCTCTAAGCCTCAGCTTCCTCATCCACAAGGAAATTTAATTCACTCCCTTTGCTGGATCAATATGAGAACTTCATGAGAAGATACAAGCTATCAGGCACTGCTGGTGGGAGTGTAACTGCGGCATCATCCTACAGTCATAGTGGATGTATGGAAATATTTATTATTTCTCTTTCTCTCTCTTCCCACTCATTGGTCCCTAGCCACTGGCCTCCTATCCATTCTGGTCTCCTAACATACAAGGTAAGACCCTACCTCAGGGCCCTTGTACTTGCTGTCCCCTATAGCTGCACCACTTCTAGCCTAGATATCTACATGGTTGCTCCCTTAACTGCATTTGGTGAAATAACACAACTGTAGTACAGCCTTCCTTAATCACCGCATATAAAACTGTAATCTTCTCCTAACCGCACACAACAGCCCTTATCCCCATGCCATTCTTTTATTTTTTCATATCTTTTACCACTGCTTAAGGTACTTACTTATGATTTATATTACTCCAGAAAAGTGTAAACTCTATGAAAGAATAACATATTTTATTAATTTGTTCCTGGCTATATTCCCCACACATATAATTTGTCTGACAAATAGTTGGCACTGTGTAGTTGCTGAATGGATGAATGTATCTAAATACACATATAGATCAGGGATTGTAAGAGCATTTGTTAAATAAACTAAAGCAAGGGCCTCCAATGAGGAGGGAAAATGAGAACAGAGATCAGAATGAAAGGGGAAAATAAACTGGATTGCAAAGGGTCTGACAGGAAGCAATAGTACTAACAGTCCTTGACTGAGGGAGGGGTTGACTCTACTCTGTGCACTTCAGGTTCAACAAAGGATTTGCATGAAGTGATGTGAGAGGACATGGTTCAGAGACTGATAAATGGCAGGCACTCAACAGATTTAAAATGAAGGGGAACTGGAATCCTGTAACCATCAGG